CGGAAGAAATTTCACTAATAGTTCATTTCCACCACTGTCCAAATCCGACGGCACATTAGCAACAACATCGCAGGAGAAAGCAAATATTTTTGCAGAGATGTTCGCAGCAAACTCTACTTTAGATTCCCAAGGAAAACTGCCGCCAGACATTCCACCCGTCGAGAGTCGAATGCCCGAAATCGTCTTCCGTCAACGCACTATCAGACGAATTTTGCTTGGTCTCAAAACAAATAAGGCTAACGGTCCTGATGGAATTCCACCCATTATCCTCATAAAATGTGCACCAGAATTAACACCGATTCTCTGCAAGTTGTTTACCATCTCGTACAGGTCGGGTATTTTTCCATCATGCTGGAAGACAGCTAGAGTCCAACCAATCCCCAAAAAAGGGAACAAGAACCTGCCCAACAACTACAGGCCCATTGCCCTGTTATCAGTAATCTCCAAAGTGATGGAGAAAGCCATCAATATTGAGCTTATCAAATATCTGGAGAGCTCAGGAATCATCAATGATAGACAATACGGCTTTCGCCACCGAAGATCTACTGGAGATCTACTTGCCTACGTCACCCATTTATGGCAATCTTCAATAGAAAGACACGGGGAATCTCTAGCTGTCGCGTTGGACATTTCGAAAGCATTCGACCGTGTTTGGCACGAAGGACTCCTCCACAAACTACCATCATACGGCTTACCACCTCAGCTATGCCATCTCTTATCGAGTTTTCTTTCAGGCAGATCGCTTCACGTGGTGGTGGACGGTGTATCGTCTGATACCTTTGGCATCAATTCCGGCGTTCCACAAGGATCAATTTTGGCACCAACATTATTCCTGCTTCATATCAATGATCTGTTGGGAGTAACAACTTGCCCCATCCACAGCTTTGCAGATGATAGTACCCTCCATACTGCGTTCTCTTCTAGAATTCCCATTTCTTCCCAGGAAACTAAGAACTCACGGCGCAGGCAGGTCAATGCTGTCAATGAAGATCTTGCTGAAATCACAGCCTGGGGAACAAACAACCTAGTTGAATTCAACGCCACCAAAACTCAAGCCTGCATTTTCTCTAGAAAGGCGGAACTCAGTATGCCCGATATTGTAATGTCTGGCTCCACCATCCCCACCAAGCCCACCATATCTATGCTCGGTATTTCCATCAGCAACACTCTTTCATGGGATAATCATGTCAGATCCATCGCAAAAGCTGCTTCACAAAAACTCGGATTCTTGTTCCGTGCGAAAAGCTACTTTACACCTCAACAGCTTCTCATGATCTACAAAGCGCAGATACGGCCTGTTCTAGAATACTGTTCCCACATATGGGGTTCAGCACCAAAACATACACTGATGCTCTTAGATTCCATCCAGAGAAGAGCCATTCGCCTGGTGGGTGACGCCACACTCACTCACTCTTTGACATCATTGGAACATCGTAGAAAGGTCGGCGACCTTTCACTTTTCTATCGATACTTCCACGGGAAATGTTCTTCGGAAATCTCTGCTATCATCCCTTCACTAGCAATACCAATCAGACGAACTAGACAAGCCCAGTCAGCACATCCTTTCGTTGTCAACCTCGAAAGATGTCGAACAGCACTTTATCAAGACTCCTTCATCCATAGAACGGCTAGGCTCTGGAATTCATTGATTCATTCCTGTGGAAGTATTCCCAACAACATATAATCTCCAAAAGTTCAAAAAAAAATCCAATACCTACCTCCTGTCCCTATCCTCCCAAGGAACGCACGATGTTCTTTGAACATTATAGGGATTCCCTTTCGTGCGCTCCAAGCGATAAAAAAAAAAAAAAAAAAAAAAACACTCCCGAAACATTTGTATTACACGAGACAAATCATAAGGAACTGATGGATACAATAAATCATATAAAAAACAAAACTTCCAGTGGCATTGACAATATTTCAATAAGAATCTTCCAAAATTTGCCAATCTTTGTTCTCGAACTGCTGGTCCACCTTATTAATGATTCTTTTACCAGAGGAACTTTCTCCGACTTCCTAAAAACCAGTATAGTGATCCCCCTGTATAAGGGTGGTGACCTCTCCGAGCCATCAAATTTTCGACCTATCTCTTTAATACCAACCCTGGGAAAAATTATCGAAAAATTGGTTAAAACTAGATTGATGGACTTCTTGGCTCACCAAAAAATTCTACATCCTCAACAATTCGGTTTCCAACCTAACAAAAGTACTGGAGATGCAATTTTTCATTTTCTGAAAAATGTATACTCAAATCTAAATTCTAAAGAAGCAAGCGCCGCAATATTTTGTGATTTGTCAAAAGCATTGAATCATGAAATATTGCTTCGTAAGCTCCACCATTACGGGATCAGAGGCCAAAGCCATTACTGGTTCGAGTCTTTCTTGAGCCAAAGAACACAAGTTGTAAACAACAGTTTTTCCAATATAGGTTTTATTAAACATGGTGTACCTCAGGGCTCTGTGCTTGGACCTATCCTGTTCTTGTTATATTTTAATGACCTTGCGAATATTAAGACTGAAGGTGTATTCACTATTTTCGCAGACGACACAACGGTCCTGTGGCATGATCAAAACCCTAACAAACTTTTTAGTAAAATGTCTAGGGATATTAACGCTGTGAGAGAGTGGTGTAACTCGAATCAGCTTTCATTCAACACTAACAAAACGAATCTCTTATCATTTCAATGCGATATACCGATATATATTTCCCTGGGGAATGATATTATTTCATCTAATAATTTCAACACCTTTTTAGGGATTCACTTAGACTGTAAACTCAAATTTGAAGATCATGTTCGTCATCTTAGTAAAAAGCTGTTCAAAGGGTGCTATGCTCTACGTGTTATCTCAAGAGAATTGGGTGGGACAACTGCAAAAGTAGTTTACCATGCCTTATTTGAGTCTCATGTCAGGTATGGTATCCCCTTTTGGGGTACCTGCAACAAACAGTGCTTCAACATAATATTCACTCTCCAGAAACGTGCAGTACGCTATATCTGCGGGGTTGGACCTCGAGTATCATGTAAAGAACTTTTCAGAAAGCAAAAACTCCTCACCATTCCATCTCTTTTCATCCTCGAATCGGTATGCTTAGCACATAAAAATAAATCAACATATGATACCATTTCTGGTTCTACCCGCCAAAATAACAACCTAAGGCTACCCATTCTAGCTTCCAATTTGATCAAAAACTCCATTATTTATAATGCTGCAAAACTGTATAACCATCTTCCTGCCAGCATCAAAACCATTGAATCCCTCCATTTATTCAGGAAATCGGTTAAACTCATTCTTATGGATGAAGTATTGTACGAAGTTCAAGATTTCCTCAATAAAAACATAAGTGGTTGAATTAGTTAACATTTTAATATTTTTTAATATATATTATTCAACCATACATACATTTTTATGTGATATTTTGATTAATTGACGAGTTATTTTTAACCAAATAATGTAATTATTTTCAAATAATTAATGTTTTTATTTTTAATCTTGACAATGTGATATTCAATTATATTTATTTTTTACTTTATAATTACCCTGTGTTATCTTTGTGGTAACGCAGATAGTATTTTTGATTGTTTGATTGTTTGTGTGTTTCTATAAATATTTATCAATTCTTTTTAACTACATGCTTATTGTTAATTTCATGTTCTATGTTCAATATTTAAATGTATGTTTCTTTCTTTTATTAGAATCTAACAAACAATAATTGTAAAATATCTATATTTTTAATATTTGTAGTACAAGCTTCGTCAATAAGATTTATGTCTTCGACAATAAAGCATATTTTTGATTGATTGATTGATTGATTGATTGATTGAGCTTTCCCTGCTGGGAAATCGAACCTATTCTCTTGTTATTGAATATCTCAATTGTTACACCTTTTTCACTACGCTATAGGAACCTTATTCATGAGTGATATGAATAGTAGGATGATTATAGTATTGATGCTAGAGAATAATAGGGTTAGTCAGGGAGAACATTAGGAATATTGATACGAGAATAACACTAATATCATATTTTGATACTATCCCGTATATATTCTGAGGATATTCTAGGAATATGTCAAAATGAATGTTCATGAAATAGGTATTTGTTGCCAGGATGATAATATCCTTTGATTATTCTGAGAACTTTTTATCTTAATATTCTGAAATGAGTACGAAGTACGAACGTTATATTCTGAACGTCGAGAGTATATTCGTAGCAGCTTGGTTTATTATTACGGATTATAAACGACACGTCTGGTACTTTTCATTCAGAACGAATAATACAAATAACTATTTTTCTGTGACGGGAAAAAAGTTTGGCATTTCATCTCTGTTGGCAGGTTATAAAATGTCACTTTTCATAAATTACTTTTTTCCCGTGGGAAAAAAGTGAGTGCTTTTCTCCCGGATATAAATCACATATATATACACTGTTGATGGCTTTTGTTGTGCTATAGTTCCGAAAAATAAATCAATACTACCGTCTTCCATTTGACTTCGCGTTTACGTATATAACTAAACAACCAATGAATCAATAAGACTGACAGAAGTGACATCAGATATTTGATTACTTCAAAAGAATGGTGAAGATGCCTACAACGCAGGTGTCCCTACTGTTAAAGACTTAAAATTGCACGTCGATAATTTCCTGATTTCAAAATAATGTGATATCTTCTCAATATTGATTCGTCCTTCCTTCTGTTACAGAAAAAAATAGTGTATTATACACGGGAATAATATTAGATTTCAGCTCACGGTTTTTTGTCTCCCTCCGCTACGCGTCGGAAGACAACACAACCTGGAGCTAACATCTACTACTTTTTCCTTGTACAATGAATAACTATATGTCGTTGCTACTGTTCTGAGAAAAATAGGTATCGTTGGTATTGTAATAATGAAATAAGTTGGGGTGAGAAGTCGAAAAAATATGAAGATGCAGAGATTCATATTTCCAAATAGACAGTTAGCAATGTCTTTCATGAAGAAATCGTCATGTAAGCCTCCTACCTTGTAGCCTTCGATGCTAGACACAAATTTATCGTCTTGCGCCCTGTGGGGCACGCTTAGCATCAAATCAAGGGCTTTGCGAAGGTCGGCGTCGTTTTCTCCTAGACAAGCAGTATATCGGACCAATTCCTGAAAAAAAAAAAAAAAAAAAATAGAAATTGAGGAGATATATTATACTGTGAACTGAAAATTACGAAATGTACTGTCTGCATTAGTAAAGAGGCGTTTGTTTAAAGTAACATTGCATAGAAGAATTGCTGTCTGAGATTCGCTGAGAATTGAAGAACTTCAGAAATATTTCCAGGGAAAAGGCTCATTTGATATCATAGGCTGCAAAATCCAACCATAACACGATTACATATAATGTCCCAGAGACATTTGAAAACATTATACAGGGTGTTAACAAATTAGTATCACAACGGGAAACTGTAGATTCCTCATGAAAAAAGAACATTTTTTTCCCTATCGAAATTTTTCTTCGGGCTCCCGTTTTCAAGATATAGGGCGTCAAAAAAATACAAAAAAAAATCTGTTTTTTGCTACTATCTCAGGAACCGTTTGAGCTATGGAGTGAAGCCTCCGTACGCACTCCATCATTAATAATGACTACTTTCAGGACTCTTGATCAATTTCCATGAACATGTCAGTGGAGGAAAATTCAACGCCTCGTAAGGGTTCAATTCCCCAAACATTTATGCCACTGGAGAAATTGTTATTTTCAAAGTAGATTCTGAAGCGCCAATATTTTTCATACAAAAAACGTCCTGTTGTCCCAATGCTCTAAAGTTTATATGAATAAGAACATATTATTATAGAATCCTGATGGTATCTCCAAAAATCGTCTAAAAATCCAATGGGAATAAACACCTCGGAACTGTCTGATGATATGTTCAACCGAATGTCAGGTTCTTGAGTATGCTGGTCTCGATGCTGGTTTTATCAATTGTTAAGTTCATCAAGTGTTATATAGTGTGTTTGATTGGACTGGACATTTTTGATTTTTTGACGCCCTGTATCTTGAAAACGGAAGCCCGGAGAAAATTTCGAAGAGGACAGAAATGACTCTTTCATTATGGGGAATCTACAGTTTTCCGTTGTGACACTTATTTGTTAACACCCTGTATTTCATCTGACGGCAACTGTGTCAAAATCACTATCCTGATGGGCTATGACAGATAATAGCGAACTTTTTGATTTCTTTGGCTTGTAGCCATCTGATTTCCTCTTAAGTTATGTTTTATGAGACAGAGCTTGAAATTTGACATTCAATGGTAGATTGAATCTGTTGAAATGAAATTAAAGACCTCATATTGATTCAGTAAAAGCTGTTGAACAAACGCCATTTTGTGTTATATAGCTGTAGAAAATAGTCTATAATTCAACGAGCAAAGAGTGAGTCATTTTCCATGAGAATAAAGTTTGCAGCATGATTCGTAGGGAAATGACTATCATTCCGTGCCTGTTGAAGAATGAACTATTTTCTACGGCCATAACACGAAATTTCTCCTGTTTCACTGTGTTCGAAAGATCAATGAGGTACTCTGTATGTCATCAATTACTGTATATCCGTATCAGTATACGATCACAAATAGAAAACCTTGAGTCATGAAAAGACTTGAACAGGCTCACGTTTCTTCACGTAATCAATATACCCTGTATACAAACTCTTATTATTCTTTTCTGTGACAGAAAAAAAGTTTGGAATTTCATCTCTGTTGACAGGTTATGAATTGTCAGTCTTCATGAATTACTTGTTCGGCAACCGGCAACTTTGAGAGAGTAGCATTCTTCCGGTCTAGTCCGGGAAGAACGTACTTCCCGGACTGAGCCGGAAGGTATCACATCGCTGTTGTCTCGGTAACCATGAAAATCTTGGTAGATATGGTTTTGATAAATGCAGATGATAAACACCATAGCAGCAAAATATCGGCTGACAGCTATTTCTTATGAAATTAGTTGACATTTTGATATTCGAAAGTTTGGTTGTGATTATCGCAACAAACTATCGAAAGCTGATGCGATGGTGAGTTTGGAAATGTCCATACGAAATCCCCAATGTAACAGTTAGTACGTATAGGTTTTCTGTTAAAATTTCAGTATTTAATACAAATATTAATTGATAAAGGATAAATTGTATCCTACAAATATAATATGGAAATGTGTCTCATTGAATTGTTATTCTACATGGTTGTCGAAGAAATAGTGTACGAAACACTCGACTCGCAGACTTCAAGAACTTGCCTACGGCTCGGCCTAGAATTTTGTGTACTCGTCCAAAAAACTTGTTACTTGAATTGATATTTTTCCACGTGAAGAAGTGGGTACTTCTATACCGGATATATATCAGAGATAAATACACTGTTGGTGGCTTCTGTTGTGCTATAGTTCCATAAAATAAGCCAAACACCGTCTCCAAAAAAGCACTGGAAGTCTTTTATCTTCCATTCGAATTCGCGCGATTAGGTGAATCACTAAAGAACCACTGAGTTCGCAACGTCATTAAATCAGAACACACAATTAGACTGACAGATTTGATTAGTTCAAACAAATAATAAAGAAGCCTGCAACCCACAGGTATCATTCTAGTTGAAAACTAAGAATTTCATGTGGATCATTCTCTGATTTTAATATAATGTGATATCTCCTCAATATTGATTCGTCCTTGTTTCTGTGACAGAAAAAATTATTGTATTTCACACGAAAAAACAACAAGATTGTAGCTTACATATACAGGGTGATCCACGGTGGACGGCCTATTAGAAGTATCTGAAGAACGAAAAAACAGAACATTCTGAAAATTGGGATGCTTTTATAATTGCACATTTTCTATCCGTCTAAAATATTTTTATCGATACAGTGTTGCCACTTCTATCAGAAACAACTAGCAACTTCGTTATTTCAAATAGAGCACCCTGTATTTCATTGCATTTTCAGATTTTTCCTGAAGAGCTGATTCCATCAATGTATCACACTTGGGGTCTAGCAAGAATGATTACAGAGATATAGGGTGTTCAAAATCGAGATTTTTTAATTTTAGGATTTTTTTGTGTCGAAACTATTCATTATCGATCAGAACGACTTACATGTTCCTATCCTAACTTTCGATCTACTATCTACTTACATCTATTTGGAACAGATACAGGGTGATCAGAATTCAAAATCTTGAAGCATCCTGTATTCTTTCCAATTAAATTCCAGTAGATAGTGAATCAAAAGTTAAGATAGGGACATGTGAGCCATTTTGATCGATAATGAATAGTTTCGACAAAAAAAAAAATCCAAAAATTGAAAAATCTCGATTTTGAACACCCTATATCTCTGTAATCATTTCTGCTAGACCGCAAGTGTGATACATTGAAGCAATCAGCTCTCCAGGAAGAATCTAAAAATGCAATAAAATACAGGGTGTTCCATTTGAAATAATAAAGTTGCTAGTTGTTTCTGATAAAAGTGGCAACACTGTATCTATGAAAATAATTTAGACTGATAGAGTATGTTCAATTATCAAAGAACCCAAATTTTCAGAATGTTCTGTCATTTCGTTCTCCAGATAATTCTAATAGGCCATCCACCGTGGATCACTCTGTATACTTGGTATGAGACACTGCCGTGTCTTTGGATATAAAACATGTATCGTGGAAATATTCGATGAAAAAACGAACAACTGAAATTTCGGTGGAGGAACTTTTTGAAATTTTTGGTGGTGGAAATTCATTCAAAATTTTATTCGCGAGAAAAAAAATCGCTCATCCTGAAGCTACTGATCATGGTGATGGAACAATAGTTTAGTTTTCATTATAAGGGAAAAAGTTGTAGATTCTATAGCTCCAGGTTGTAGGAGCGTAGCTCAGGAAGACAAAAACCGTGCGCTAAAACTGATATTTTTTTCGTGATTAATACACATTTTTTTCTGTGACAGGTAGAAGGACGAATCAATATTGACAAGATATCACATTATATTGAAATCAGGAAATTATCGACTTGAAATCTGAAGTTTTCAACAGGAATGACACCTGTGTTGCTGGCATCATTATCATTCTTTCAAGTAATCAAATATGAGTCATTCTTATTCTGTGATTTGATTTGAAAAATTCGCGAATTTAGTGGCTGTTTAGTAATTGACGTGAAAAGTTGCTCAGTTTGATCGTTAAGCTGCTCTGAATTTACCATTCACGAATCTTTTTTGCTCCATAACTTTAAGACGGCTAATGAGATTCAACTCAAATTTAGTACGTTGGTATAGTATTGAGCAATGAAACCCGTATCATGATCATGTAGAATATCATTTCATGGGCATGTAGATCTTGATTTTCTCAGTGAGAAAAAAATCTGAAACTGGAAGGCGTACTAAAAAAAAGGCACTCGTGATTAGATTCGATCAGGTACCCTCATGGTTTCGACAAAATCTCGATGTCAGTAATTCAAAGCATAAATCAACACTGGAAATATTGAAAGATATCTCATGCAAATTGTTCAAAATTTCTTCCTTTCTCACGTTAACAAACATTTACACGACGACAAAATTCGGAATGTGCTCTCAGCAATTTTTTGTTGTTTTTTTTGTAATGAGTAATCCAGAGCCGTCTGACACCTATTCTGCCTATACTGAGTTCGTGATGCTTATCAGAAGTCCCAATATCCAACGCTCTGAAGTCAATAGGTTGGATCATACAGGGTGGTGATGTTGACTTTTTAAAATTCTGAAATGACATTGTGAAGTTTCCTTTTCGAATAACGAAACCAAATGGACTACGTTTTGTTCGTTCATGTAGCTGGTGGAAATCAATCATTGATGATATATACCTGCACATACTCAGTTTGTTGGTCTTAAAACAGCGAATGTTCCAAATATCTCCAAAAAAGGGGGGAAATTAATTCAATTCATCAAATGATTGGTATATTCCGTGGAAATTGTTGGGGAACTTGATCATTCGACAATACCTGAATTATATAGGATGGTTCCGAAAGTAGTGACAATTGCTAATCATCTTCTAGAATGAGTGGTGATCGATCCAATTCCATACAAATCTGATAGATAGTTTGAACATGCCACTGTGGAATATTCCAAATTATGTCAATGCATATACCAATGTCTACTTCGAATGAAACGAAAAATTTCAAAAAATTCC